GGATAGGTTTACGTAATTACTCAGCAGAAGCACAGCACCGCAAGTGTGACCGCAGCAAGACGACCCACAAAGGTAATCTGACTCTCTGCCTGGGCGTGCTAGCGTGCAGACGACGGAGCGCCTCGCATGCCGCAGTGACGAGGTTCCGCCCCAGCTTTAAAAGGCAGGAGAGTTATTTCCCGTAGGAGCCTCACACTAACGTGTTGTAGCTCCTACCCATCGTCAGTGTTCTGATCCTGGTCACGATTCCAGGTGTAATCCAGCGCCACTCTGACCAGAGAGCGCTTCACAAGCAGCCAGAGGACGGATGACTCATTGATTTTTGACAGATTAGCAAATTACGCGCATTTTATGCGCCATTGTCCGCAGTCTACGGTCCTTACAGCGAATGTGTCGTTCTCTAAATTTTTATTCGTCCATAGCTACTATTGTGAAGGGTTTTGTTAAGTATTCATCTGCTCAAGTGGCGGTAAGTATCTGCAATAAATTCAACATGTTGTTGGTGATAAATGTACACTCTGCTCCCCTTGTAGGCAGTGCTAAAGGAGTTACCTAGGCGATTTATCACATTTTTTATTCGAAATAGGGAGGTCCCAAAGTGGCGCTCATGGCGTGAGGGAGGTGAGGAAAGACATCCAAACAGGTTCTCGAAAAAGTGCGGTGAGGTGACTCTGGGACTGATTTGGAGAGGGAGAAACACCAGGGGAGAACAAAATTGCTCACATTCTCTCCCAAACTCCCTCCAAGGCCTAGTTCTGAGGGCTGTAATCGGCGCAACCACTAGAGTGTTTCCTCCACTTCTCCGTGAACTACATGAGCGCCCTCAAGCTCTTCAAGGAATCAAGGTTCGGTTAAGTGCTCTGGTGTTACTTGTCATGTGATTCTTGAGTGCTCAAGTTGGAATTATTTCCTGGGTGTGAATGGTTCTTAAGCGTATTTATTTCTGCAGAATTTTGAGCCTGCACTAAAACCACACGCTTGTTAGCTAATAACTTATTCAGGACTTCGCTGTTTCAGAGAAAATGTCCAGCAAAAAGAAACCAACGATCAGTACATGTGAAAAGTGCCAGTGTACTGTTTTGGTGAAAGATTTTCCACGCCACACCGAGATATGTGGGTCAGCACCACATTATTGGGAGGTAAGTTACATTTTTAATGGAAATAATTTATAATGAGGGCTGCAAGCCTTTTAGTCAAACTGAAATTGAGGATATAAAATCGCAGGTGCACTACAGGTACCGTATCTCACTTCCACGGGGGAATTTTCACCTCCCCTCGCCAAACCAACCATTTATTCTAACTTTTTAAGTGGTTCAACCACTCAGTGCTCTCCGCAACTCGTTAATTAGTCGAAAAACCTCTACGATTCTACATAGAACGAAATCATTAACCTTTTCATCATTATTTTTTGCATCTATCCCAAGGGGCGGAAGTGGTGTAGTGACAAGTGGCGCGCTCACCACGCGAGCGGTCCGGGATCAAATCCTGGGTCGTGAGTCGCCCGGGCCAACCAAGCCTTCCATCCCTCCGGGGTCGGTTAATTGGTACCAGACTTGTCTGGGAGGATAAAAACACTGACTTGTACATCGGCTGGCCCCCGCAAGTCATTGTATAGGCCACATCGCATTCAAACGCCACTGCGAATGTACAAATGGAAGTAGAATGCGTGCCGCATCCCAAAAAGGGATTGATCAACGGCAAATGCTTTATCCTTTATTTATCCAATACTTATTGGGAAAGTAGAGGCTATGTGCTGAACCTAAAAGAGTGACTGTTCTCATGTAAGAGTACAGAGCGGGGTGAGCATCGTGATGGGGAAATAGCCGACTGTACAATCCTCGTTTGACTACCGATCTCTTCCCCTCCCCGTGTTCTCCGACCCACTCATCGATGGCAGTAGTGTGCTTGAGGAAGTTCCGCCTGACGAACTTGAACTTCGCCCCCAAAACGGCTATCAATTGAGGGATGGGACAGTGACTGCTAAAAAGTTATTCCTTCATTTTACCCCGTTATTTCATCCCACCCTCCCCTGTATTTATATACAACCCCTAAAAATCACAAATTCGGTTTCAAGGAATTCTCGATCAGCGTTCGTCTTGATGTCGAATTGAGAAGGAATTGTGATAGCGACCAGTTTTTTGAAAGCATTCCGTCCTAGCTCAAGCATGTCCTTCTCATACAGAGCGTCTCATTTTTAATGCTCAGCATGATAACGGGCTCTAAGAACCAGAAGGTGCAGCTGTAGTTGATGGTTTTGGTGGCAGTTTTTCTGGAGCTTCGGCAGAGTGAAAGAGGATTTTCACACCAACCTTATCGATTTAAGTGGTGATAATGTTTTGATTTTTCTCTCCCCAACCACGATGGTAGCTCTACTCAAAAATACATAGTTGATGGTCCCATCGCGTTGTAAACAAAAGTATCTGTAGTTTTCGTCATCGCCGATTTCCTCAGTTTTTCTTTCTCCTTATTGTAACCGTTTCTTCCAATCGTTTCTTTTTTCGTGAATGTCCTAGCAAGGTATGACGATGACTTTCAAAATGAATCCACTCTGATCGCTCCGATCCTAAGAGATTGACTCCTTCAAAAATTGCGGAGCTTGTCGGTTCAAGCATTCAGGGGGTATTCTTGGTTGATGAGCAGTTTCTATGGGGAAAAAGATTGATATTTCCTGAGTTCAACTTTTCTGATTATTTGATGGGTGCAAGTCTCTTTGTGACAACAATAGCGTCATCTTGAGCATTGCTTTACACTTTATTACACTGGGAAAGAATTTGACGTATTTTCTGTTATAATGACCGCCGGGTTGAGTCCACCATATGGCGAGCGAAACGGCGGAGATTTTCATGAAATGTTCAGTTATTGGAATTCCTATAATAGCTCGATTATTCCACGGAATGACTGAATTCATTGCAGATGTCTGTCATAAAGCCCCGATGTATAATGAAAGGGTTTGTCGTGCAGTTCGAGAAATGGGACGAGTATCTTCCACCTGATACATGCGGTTGGCTACGTAGGTATTCGGTTTTCATGCATCCCCAGGCAATGGAGATTCTTGGCATCAATGCAAGACAACCAGTTCGTGTCCAAACTCCCGTTAGCGATTACATTGGAGTGGTTTGGCCATGTAAAGAGGTGAGCATTCAGGATTTCTATCATAGCTCAAATTTAGGTATCCGTTCTGCTGTCTTCTGTATCACTTGGAATACTTCTTCCGCCATTTCAGATAGGAATTTTGCGTATATCTCTTACTGAAGAAAACGGCGCTTGGGAGAAACTTGCTTGCATCACCCCTATCTGGAATTCTCTACGTCTTCAACGAATTTCTTTATCAATTGACTCACCTCTACCACTAGCCGTTGCATCGTTGCAGGAGTACATACAGGTAGCTCAACATTTAAGCTGTCTCTTAAAATCAGAGCTGAGTTCCACCCAATTCAGATGTATTTGTCGAACTCTTATATCCAACCTGGAATTGCAATTCCTCTGAATTATTATGGAAAAGTTATTCAAATCGTTCCAGACGTCCCACTCGAGCTCGCTCTGAAGGACATGTCACTAGAAGATGGAGAGCTAGAGGTAAGATCCAATCTTTATATTATATTTGCTACTCGTATCTTTGCTTACAGTCCGAACATGTCATTTTCGTCCCCTCTGATTGTACGGTCACAATATCATCTGCCGAGTCATCTCTGGTAACAGAAGATCCTCTCTCAGTTGTTTCATCGATAGGAGGAATGCACATAGCGAAGAAGACTTTGATGGATTTTGTTCTAGTTCCATATCTGAGGTAGTGACATTATTTTATTCATTCCACTGCTCCTTCATTTGTGCGTTATGTCTACTCACGTGAAATTTTCAGGGAAAAATCATGTTGTTCTATTGCTCTGGGGATTGCCAGGAAGTGGTAAAACACTGTTGCTTTCCGCTGTTGCCAAAGCTCTTGGAAGCTCAGCGTTTTATTTCCAAGTGAGTGTTTGTTAACAGTGAATATGTGCATCGGTAGTTGCACGACGAAGTGCCGCCACTATTTGAATGAGCCTGGACAGTATCCCGTCTTGATCAAGCAATTACCTATAGGATGCATAGGTTTACCTATTCTTCAACCGCGCTGTGTTTCACCATCATCTTACGAATTCGAATAAGTAGTGGCAGTGGGGTCGAAGCGTAGGAGAACATTGTCAGATTCAAGTTGTGGACGACAGTGCGATTTTTGAATGTTTCATGGGTGGGATGGATTTTTGAGCTTGGCAGCCGTGGTTCCTTCTTGAGTAATGCTGTCTCTTTAAGTGGAGTTTCTTGGAGATCAAAGCTGAAACAACTTCTTCCCAAAAATGCGCTGTGTGCGTGTGCTTATTATTGTGTAAAAATCTGAATTGTTAATAAGGTTAGTGACGTACAAACTTTTTGCCCTGAATCTTGAATGGAATACTTCAAAGAAAGTAAATTTTGTCATCCACAGAGTTTTATATTTCTTCACGTTGCTTTCTTTGTTCGAATGTTTATGTCAATAAATAGAAGTCAAATGGTGAATGAAAGTTTCATTGCCAGGACAAAACCTACGCAAATCACACTTTTGTTATAACCATATAGTCGCTGTCATTTACAACACTATTTGGACACGGCCTATAAAATATGTAACATGAGTCCTGGTCCTTATTCTGTTAACAGGAATCCATGTGAAAGCAGACAGGTCTTTTCCACACACATCACTCATTCTACACTCCAAAGCTTCCTCCTCCCGCAAAGTTTGAAATTCTTTAAGCGGCATGAATTGTCGCACCACCTCCCACCCCCTTATTCCCAAAATCCGGCAATGCGATTGCACAAAAAAGTGAATTATGAGTCTGGTAGCAATATGAAAACCAATGTCCAGCCTTGCGCAAAGCGTGTTTCGCACATGAATCGCGCCAAATTGAATTTTAATCGCGCTGTCTCATCAATGCTTGACTGTAAATAGAACCTCTTGCCGGACGTATCCCCTCTTAGTGGTAGATAATCTTATAGCGAAACAGTGTCTTAGGACTTCCTAAAATTACTAGGTAGTGTTCCTCATTTTTGATTTGTTTCGGTCGTGCAATCAAATGTCAGGCAGGGAATACATAAATTTCTCGATCATTTGTTATCGGCATGGAGTGAGCAAGGGCTAACGTACATATACTTTCCTTTCTCCAACGAAGCAGCTTCGAAAAAAAATCTCTACTGTGTTTTTAGATGAAGTTAAAGCAAGGATGTACCGAATCTCGCAAATTCCTTCTTGTTTTCAGTCGATGGACGAGTTCAGTGAGAAGTACACTCTGATTCCTCCACGATGCGTAGTAATTCTGGATTGGCCATCAGTGGACAAAGAGCACAAGGGTTTCAGCAAATTAGTGCAATTGATAGACAATCAGGTATTTATGATTCTTTTACCTGCGACTCTTCCTCTAATATTATATTATTCCATAACAAGTCTACTCTGGTCTTCTGCGGTCGAGCAGCGCTCAGCAAAAAAGCTTCTTTTTTCTTTCTTCTCTCCAAAGAACAATCTTAACATTTCCATCTCCTCATTATTCTATACCCAGTGCCTTTATTTGAATTGATTTTTCTTTTTCCACTGTTTTTTTTTGGTTTTGCTCTCATCTTTTACTGTTTGAATTTTCTCATGTTATCGTCATTATTATTAGATTCGAAGCTCTTTCTATTCTTTTCATATATGCGTTGTGCTGTTGTTTCTGTTCAATTTTTCTCAAGCAATTTCTTTTATTCCAACTACACTTGTTTTCATTGCCAAACCCACTATCATTCCTCTCGATCCTGCCATCAACTTTCTACACACTTGACTTCCTTGTACATAAATTCCGTGCCTTTCTCCACCATCTCTTCTCTTAACGTTTTATTTGTTGCCTATTTCGCCCCTCATCGTATTGCTTTCCTTTTCGAAGCAGATTCTAATATTGCGTTCCTTCAACAGCTTCGAATTTACTCGAAAGATTTAGTCCACTTTCCGTAACTCTTATTTTTCTACAATTCCTTATCTCAGTGTAAGTGATGTTTGTTTTGTTTTAGTGTGCAGCTGTGGTCCTTTCTGTACGACAAGCGGAGGAGCTTGACCTCGGAGTCCGAGTCAGGTTTCCTGTAGAAGTATGTCATTTTCTTATTGCGAATAACTTCATCCTCAGCGCGGATTGTTCTCTTATCAGGTTGAAGTTGATGTTCCAATGGAGGAAGAGCGAATAGAAATTTTGCGATCTTTGACGGGCTCTTCTGATGATGTTATCGTCGACTTGGCTAAGTGAGTTATCTCAGTTTCACTGCAGATGTTATTTTGAGCCTCCCACCTCCGCTTTCATCTTTTTTTTGGAGCTCATAATGTACTCTGTCTGTAGCAGCTTCTTAAGGGACAGCTAACTTTATTTACTTGCTTGATGCGAGTCGCCCTTAACTGGTCATCATGGTAAGTTGCGTGCATCGCGTTGAGTTTTTCTCGAAATACGCTAAGTCTTTCTTATGGATCACGCTACTGTCTAGTGATCTCACCCCTCACCCCTCCAACCCGCATTCATCGAGTTTATCGAGCGGGGCCTGCAACGTCTCTATGGCTCCTTCCCACGTGCCAAAGTACTCCTTAAGAATTTTCTTGCTTGCGTAATAGGAAAACGTATTTCTTCCTGTAGAGCCCTATGAAGAAGCTTGATTCATGCTATTTGTTGAAATGTGAAGCAGATCTTCTTCTTCTCCCTAGCGTTAGTCCCGCGCAGTCGCAGGGTCCGCTGTCTTTATCAGTCGTCGCCACTTCGCTCTGTCCAGTGGCCATGACTTCACTTAGGTCCTTCTTGATCACGTCTCTCCACCTCTTCTTTGGGGCTCCTCGCGGTCGCTTGCCTTGCGCTTCGAAGTCCATCGCTTTCCTTATCGGGTGATCCTGTGGCCTCCTTAGCACATGCCCATACCATCGCAGTCGTTGCTCCCTCACCTTCAGCTGGACAGGGGCAGTTTGCATCGCAGATGTGAAGCAGATGTAGCATGATATAATCCCAAGAGTGTCAGTCAGTGCCGAACCTCTTTATTATCACTACTTCAATGCGGAATTCGGTCGTAACGCATTCGGAGGATAGAGTAAGTAAGTGTATGTTGAACGTGCGATCTTGCGATCATGTGATCTGCGATCGTGCCACCGCATGATTCATACGTAGTCACTCCACACTCGAATCGCACACGAAATGCAAAGGCAGTCGCAAAGTACAGTGA